ATCAACAAAAATAACAAAATACCGAAAACCACTCAGAGAAGCAACAGGAGAAGGACTCCAAATATCAGAATGTACCAAACCAAAAGGTTTATCTGCAGTTGACAAACTATCAGAAAAAAAAAGAGCCGGTTGTTTCCCAAGTTTGCAATGAAGACAACTAAAAGACTCAAAATGACCTGAACCCAAAAGACCCTTATTATATAAAGAACGAACTTTATTCGAAGACGCATGCCCAAGACGAAGATGCCACTGAAAACTAGACTTACTATCGGTGGCAGAAGCAGAAAAAGCGTAGGAACGAGGGACATGAAGTGACTCAAGCTCAAATAACCGGCCCGTCTTGCGACCTTTCCGAGAAGCTGTCCCGTCTGTGAATCCTGAACCTGAACACCAGAAGATGAAAATATAACATTAAGACCTTGGTCAACCAATTGACCAACAGAAATAAGATTCAAGGCCAAGTCAGGAATGCAGTATGTGTCGGGAAGATGCAAGGAAGGGGAAGAAATCAAACCAGTGTGAGTAACATTCATAAGAGTACCATTAGCAGTATGTATAGGAGGTAAAGAGGTTACGGAAGACGAGGAAGACAAAAGTTGCGGGCTAGAGGTCATGTGATTGCAACAGCCAGAATCAAAATACCAATGTGATTTACCTCCGGTAGCAGACATAGAAGAATTGGAAAGAAGAACCTGTTTGAGAATAGCCTCTATGTCTTGAAGAGTGTAAGACGAATGCTGAGGCTCAGTAGTGACAGCCGCTGTAACAGAAGAAGTGGCGGTAGAGGAAGACCCATGATGTCGAGAGAATGAACCTCTCGAACGGTGTGATCTGGCTGGACAATATGTAGCAATATGACCCCGAAGATGACAAATGTGGCATACCACCGTAGGACAAAATGGAGCAATATGACCCTGAACATGGCAAATGTGGCAGACCACCATAGAAGAATCCATATCCAAAAAATAAAGAAGCACCAGCAACCAGCAACAGTACGAAGACAAAAGAAAATCACGAACTGGATCACAAACCGGATAAAATAGCAGTAAAAGGCCGAAATTAAAAAGGCACGAAAACCAAAACCGACCACACCAGGACGTAGCCGCAAATGAGAGGAGTCGACGGCTGAAAAATCACGGCGATCGGAGCTGGGGGTGAATCTCACGCTCCGGCTGAAGCTGCCAGCACTGTCTCACTGTTCCGGCGAGTGTGGGTCCCACGCGCCTCCGAACGGACCCAAATTTTGACCGACGGCTCGCCGAACGATGCCGGAGAGGATGGTCTGGGAGGTGAGAATAGAAGACGGCTGGAGACGAGCGAAAAATACTAACCTTATATTGGACTATAAACCTAGTCTGATACCATGTAAGAAAGTGGGAAAAATATATGTTCTATATTATTCAAAAGACATGTACACATATATATAGGAACATAATGAGCCTAAATCTAATCCTACAATATATATAAAAAATATATTATAACCATTATACAAAATATATTCTAACATTTTCTTAGGAGAAAGGAAATGCACTTGTGTTTACAAAGAACTCTCAAACTCACTCACAACTCACAACCCAAATACACACAAGAAATAACATATGTAGTGATAAAAAAAATAGTGATAACACAAATATTGTCACTGAAAACATGTGTATTGTGACAATTTTATCTGATGTTACTATCATTTGAGAGAGATGAATATTAGTGATAATTTTGATTATTGTCACTAAAAATTTGGAGCCATTTTATACGAGTTAGCGGGAAATTTTTTTGTCACAATTGTTGCTTTCAATAGTGACGATAACTAATATCATGACTAAA